GGCTTCATTTGTGACTTAATCCATTGTAGATCCTTGTCCTTTAAGACATCCTAGTCCATAAAGTCACAAACTTTATGTGTTTGTATGCATGGTTGGGGGTCAAAACATGATTTTGGTCCTTTAACTAACTTTGTGACCATCAAACACTTGCTTGGTTGTGGCTTAACCATCAAGGTCCGATTTTTATTACTCTAAGTGCTTCTAAGATCTCAAAAGGACAACTCTTATGTTCTGAAACTATCAAGATTCAAGCAACCTCAATAATAGAGTCCAAAGTGACATCTAACACCCCAAAATCAAATCTAAACATGTAATGATCATGTTTGAAGCTTGGTAGCTCAAATGGGTCAAAAATGGTGCTAATCTCCTAGATCTAAAATTTCCCTTTTAATCATTTCTCCTTCTTCAAACTTCTTTCTCTTCTACACACCAAAACAACACTCAAATGCTCTCGCGTTGCTTCCAAATCACAAGAACACACAATTATGGGTTATGGTTTTCGTGGTGGTTATCTAAGCATGAGAGGGAGGCTGGACTAAAGGCATAAGGTCCTTTATATATGGATCAAACCCTAAAATTTATGGTTTTAGGAGCTGCATACGTACTCTGCGGGTACTCTTGGTACGATGGGCGTACGTGCATGGCTTCCGCATTCCAATCTCTTGAGTACGCTGAGCATACTTGGCATAGTACGCCGCGCATACAACACTTCTCGGCCTAATCACAAGGGCCCAAAGGTCTAAGCCCAAACATTTTCAAACTATTAAACTTATATAAATAAATAAAAATAGTACCTTATAACTCCCGAACGTTACAACTAACGACCAATAAGTTGCAATGTGCAATTTCATGGGTTAGCATCAAATTCACATTTTCCTAAAGTAACTAAGATTGGGAATTTATAAAAAGGTTTAGTTAATTTGTATATTCATTATACTTATTAATGAGATTTAACGTCCTATTATACCCAATGGTGGGCATTTTACAGGCCGCTTTCTTAAACACCCCTTATAGACTATCTTCGTGAATGAGGCCTACTAACGGTAAGATTGAATTTTCTTATACATATATATAATATATTAGACTTTTAAGTTTATATAGTATAATGGCGTATTTTAAAATTTTAAAATACTAGATGGCTTAATCTTTTAATAAATTAAACTTTTAATTTAATTAAAATCTACAACATTTTATGGATTTATTAATTATCTTTTAATTAAATTATTAATAAAGTCCATAAAGGTATCTTCTAGATTTTTCCATTTAAATTTCCAAAATAAACTTTTAATTTCAAATTTAAATTATAAAACTAAAAGAGTGTATTTTAAAACTTTTCAAAATACTAGGTTAAATCTAAAATCAAAATATTATTATTATTATCCAAATTAAACCAAATCTTTTAATTTTGATTAGGATATCATCTTATCTTTCAAAAATTCGATTTTAGGCTTTAAAAACGAATTATGACAATTATCCTAATCAAGATTAAATCTGAAAATCAAAATTTTAGATAACTAACGAGTCAACTCGTCGAGTTGGGCAAGGAACTCGTCGAGTTCAAACTTGAACTCGTCGAGTTCATGCTTCAGACAACAAAAAATCGTTTTCTTGTTCTTTGGACAGTTCAATCTTGCATCAATTCAATTGAAAAACATCCTAGGCTCTGATACCACTTTTAGGTTTTGAGCATATCTATATTCCTATGTGAAAATGCAACCCTAATTGCTTTGGATCTAAGTTTTTCACTAACTGAACATGCAAATTAAATACCAAAGCAATAACCCTAGATCCAGCATACAAGATTCGAAATTCACAATGAAATTAGGGTTATAATATTATCTCACTTGTTATGTAGCAATAACAAGAACAATCCTTAAAGATCCTTAACTGTTGAAAGCTTAGTGCCCTAAGTGTTGCACCTCTAATGGAGTCATAAACACCTAATGCAAGAGGATGAGTTGAAGAGACAAGGAAATCGGCTACATTAAGGTCATAAACATAGGTCCAAAAATTCCATGTGGTGGGGTTCTTTATATAGCTGTAGGCTGTTAGGTTTCTGGAGGAAACCCTAATTCTTGTTTAAGGCTTAATCAGCCCATGAGCTCCTCCTTATGAGGCCTTGGATGAAATCTATAAGGCCTCCCTATAGGATTTCGTTCACTCCTAATTATGGAGTCCAATAGCCTAGTTCTGCAACTATCAATGATTTGCAAAACAGCCCCTCCATTATTAATCAATTCCTTTAATCCTAAAATTGATATTAAATTAATTTCTGATTAAATACTAACTAATAATATGATTTCCAAATAATATATTAATCTTATAATATATTAATAAAATCATTTTGAGTACCAATTTATTATTTCAAACAATAAATCACACTTTCTCTCCACTAGTCATCTTATCAAGTTACATAAGTGAAGGCAACCCAAAAGGACCATGCTACAATCAATTCAAGTACATACCAATTATAGTTATGGGCTTAGACACCTAATACATTAATTTTTTATAACGTCTCATCTTCACAACCATTTTTTTCATTTTTAAAATTAGGTAAAAACATTGTTTCCATAAAACCAAGTCAAGAAAAACCATAAGTATCAAAATACAGTCATCCCAAAAATTAGAGTATCATAATAATGCAGAATCACAAAAAAGTTGCCGATGAGTGTCTACAGTCAAACTTCCGCATTCTCATGATCATTTGAAGTATCTAAAACATATTTAAACCCACAACTGTAAGTACGACGATTAGTGATTTCCCCAAAATATCACATACAATACAATATAAAAAAACAACTATGGGTTTTCAACAACTCTATGACTATCAGCAGTCCTGAGGACTATCAATAGTTCTATGGGTTATAACCAATCCTATGGGTTATCAGCAACCCTACAGACTATTAGCGGTCATGGAGTTATCAACAACTCAATAAATACACATAACAACAATCAACAAATAAGACTCAACTAGTCTAGCATGCACCCTACTATGACATATGTAATATAGTGAGAATACTCACCTTACAAATAACACACTAACACAACAACTCTATGGCAATGAAGATTGGTACTAAGAATCACATAATCATCAATATAGAAGTACATTCTTAGTCTACACCATAAAACACTCAAGTTAACTTTTGGTCAACTTTGTGAAAAAGTCAACGATCAAAATCATCCCCAACTGATCTCCACATTGTGACTACCCATAGGCTACACCGTGACAGCTACACGACAAAACAGTCGTGGTGACACCAACCACGCGTCATGGCAAGCAGACTACCATGTTGTGGGGACTGGTCTCTCACAACTTAACGGATTAAGCTCCTAACCCTTAACCCTACGAGTTACAAATCTTAGATTTGAACCTTCCTAAAGTCTTGCTGGATAAAGTTTTCAGCTTTATTCATTAAGACATCCTAATAAACCAAGATTTCAAATCATCAGGTCTTAATGGTTGCACCCATTGCTTTTTGATGTTTATGAAATCTCTAACAACAAATTCTATCAAGATAGGTATTTATATGCTTCAAAGTTGACGGTTATTCAACAACTAAACAACAACTGCTAAAACTATATGTCATCTGGATGTTTAGAAAATAAATAATTAATTTCGTAATTACTAAATTAAAGTTATTATTATCCTAAAACCTTAAGCCCATATTTTTGACTATTAATATTAACTAATTTATATCTAATCGAAGCCCAATTTAGCTAACCTAACCTCACAATCCAAGCCCAAATGCTTTTTACTCTTAATTGAACCATTTTGATGGAATGGAAAGACAAAATGTTACGAATGTATTAGAAGTTTTCTTTCTTTCCAATGTGATAAGGTCTCAATGCATTAAAAAAGAAAAAAACAGTCTTCAAGGTTGATCGTCTTCGAGATATTAATTACTATGGTTTTGTCACTATATGATACTTTATCATTCGATGTTATTACTTATGATGCTATAATGATTAAAGGGCTCTTGTTTTTTTTAATCACTTCTCAATTTTTTTTTTATTTTTTTTTTATTTTTTTTTATTTTTTTTTTTTCGCAACACATGCACAACAATTGGATCTTTGCAATTGTTTGTTTTTAAAGATTTTTGACTTAAAAATTATTGCGCGTAGTGACAGAGCTAAATGAGGCGTACCCCCAAAAAATTATTTTATATATAAAAAAAATATTATTTATAAACATTTTTCATGTTATTGTACCCCAACTAAAGAGATTATGACACGTTTTTTAATGTCCGATATTAGATAACTACATATAATATATATTGACAATGTTTGTACCCCCATATCAAAATTCCTGGTTCCGCCACTGGTTGCGCGTGTGCTGCGTAACGCAACACTGAACCCTCCGCTTCAAACATCTTCACAACTTATTTAAGTTATATTATTCAACATATTTTATTTTTTATTTTTTTTCAATAACATTTTATTATTTTAATCATATTATGAAGTATATTACTAACAATTAGAATTATTTTTAACTATTATATGGTTAATTTCAATTTATTGCAGCAGTCTGCAGACGTCAACAAACAAACAAACTTTATATTACATGTTGCAACCGTTTAGTCCACATCTTTTACTACACAGGGTTGTAGAGGTGATCTATAGATTTCATATATTTTTGTTTTGAAAAAACAAACAACACCTAAATTTCGAAGATTTAACTAAATGTCTATTTTTGTTTGTCTATCAACTAATAAGTAAAAAAAACAACAATGTTTTGATGGGGTTCCATGTAGGGTTGAGGTCATGGAGCCTCTATAATAATAATAAAAATATTATTTTTAAACATTTTTTTTAAGAAAACAATGTTAATAAAAAAATTTATTGATAACAAAGTATAGATCATAAGGGGAAAAAAATATCATTGTTGAACCAAAACGAGTCATGTGTTTTGATTTTTGATTTATACCATCAACCCTGGGCCTTTTTATAAAAAAATGGCTATATGGGCTTTCATATACCATACAACCCATAAACAAAACCAAGATTCCCAAAAGCCCCCCTTAAACCTATTCAATTTCATATTTGAGCCCTAACCCCCTTCCCTTCTCCTCTCTTTGATCGAATTTGTACGATTAACGAAGAGCAGCCATGGTTTGGTTTCAATGCGAGGACTGTGGTGATAACCTCAAGAAACCGAAGCTCGCCAATCACTTCAGAGCTTGCTCCGCTAACAGGGTTCGATTTCTGATTTTTTATTCGTCTTTTTGATTCCGAATTTGGTATGTTGAGTAACTACTCTTCTTCTGTATGTCTGTTAGTGTTTGATCGTATTTGTGTTTGTGTAGCTATCATGCATCGATTGCGGGCAAATGTTCGGGCAACAGAGTGTTCAAGGTCACACGCAATGCATCACAGAAATGGTGCGATTTCTATTTCTTAATTCTATTCGTTTTTTGGTGTTTGTTTGTTCTCTAATCTCTAGAGCTGTTAAGCTTTCCCTGAATTTGTCAAATGAGTTGTTCAAACAAGGGAAACTTTTCTGATTTGAGATCGGAGATGGTTGTTTTGCTTTCAGGAGAAATATGGTCCAAAGGGTCAAACGAAACCTACACAAGGTACGCCTGGAAAACCTAATAGTGCCTCAAAGCCAAAACCTGAAGTTGACATAAATGTCGGATTATCAGAACGTCCTCCATGGTTTTGCAGGTTTGTTGATCAAAATCTAACTTAATCTCATTTGAACAAGAGTTCAACTTGTATACTTACATGTTCTTTAATCAACACACAGTCTATGTAACACGAGTGCTACTAGTAAACAAACGTTGCTTTCACATGCTGATGGGAAGAAACACAGAGCAAAAGCACGAGCTTTTCATGCATCAAAGCAACCACCCAAGGAAACAGAGGAACAGCCTACTCCTAATAACGAAGGTAAATCTGAAAATGTTGAGGAAACACATACACCTGAAAACAAGAAGAGAAAGCTTGAAGCTTTTGAAAAGAATGGTGAATTGGGAAATGGTGAAGTGATTCATGATGCAAATGTGGAATCAGAGGAGCCAAAGAAGGTGAAATGTAAGAAAGAAGATGGTGAGAAGAGAATAAAGTGGAAGAAGATAATAACTTCAGTCTTGAAATCTGTATGTATACTACTCTGCTTTCATATAACACTTTTGAATTCAATCTCATTGGTTTTGTTTAAAAGTTTTTTTTTTTTTTTTTTTTTGGTGATAGAATCCTGATGGCAATATGAAGATGAGAAAACTAAGAACACAAGTTTTGAAGACACTTAAGGAATCTGGATCAACAGTAGATGAGAATGAACTAGTCGAGACACTTGAGCATAAGGTCAGTTCAAACGACTTTATCTTTTATTTTTATATTCAAATCATTGTGTCGTGTCTTTAACAGAATATTGAATTTATGACAGATTAATTCAAGCTCCAAGTTTGCTGTTAATGGGAAGTATGTACAATTGGCTACTAAAAGTTGAGAGATTTTTGCAGATTGAATCCTTGGTGAAATGCAATTTAGTCGTCGAGGTTGATATGCCTTGTTGGGTAATTGGGTCTTTTTGGTTTTGGGATGAACTTTTGTAGATGAAAATTTTGTTAGATGGCGTATTTATAAACAAAGGAAGAGTGTAAACCTATTTCTGTTATTGTTGAATGATTATTTGATCGAATTTTCGTATAGTGGTTGCTTTGCTCTTTCAAGATTAAAAAAAAAAAAAGAATTATTTTGTGCCAAATGTTTCTTGATAACAATTTGATAAGTGGTATGTGAGAATGGGGTATCCAAAAAAATATTTTGGGGATCTTTTTAGATGTATTGAAATATACATCAATAAAAAAAATAAAAAACATGTTGAAATATCTTATAATCAACCATTTAGAAATAAAGAAATTGAAATATCTTATAATCAACCATTTTGAAATAAAGAAATTGCATATTTTTTAACTTGTTGGAATTGAGACTTTAGAGATCATATATTGTAATATTTTCGAAGTTTATTTTTATATTTTTTGTGTTCTTAATGACCAAAAAACTGACTCTTTTATAATGATAACTAGGTGTGAGATCATGTATTACATGGGTTTAATTAAAAAAAACAAATATAAAATTTTAACAATTTGTAAAGTTTGAATTAATAAGAAAAATGAGAAAATTTTGAATTATTAAAATTAATGAAACTTTAATTTATTGAATATATTACATATATAAATTCTTTCTAATAAATCCTTTACATATATGTTACTTTACACATTAAATGTGGAATTTTAATTTAATAAAATAAAAAATACAATAAAATGATAAGTGGAAAATATAAATTTTAAAATTTTTAGAAAATATCATGTGTCCAAATGAATGAGAAGAGGACATGTAGCAAAAAAAACCTTCATTTATTATAGTAGATTAGCAAATTTATATCATTTTTTGCCGCTCATTTTATAGACAAGAATTTAGTACTTCATTAATCTAACACTTGATGGAAGTATTTGGCCGGCAAAGATTTCAATCAATATCAAGTTTAGATGGTGAAAATTTTTGCGGATGGAAAGACATTTATGCCTGCAGATTATTTTTTTTAGAAGACCGCAAACGTTAAAATGTTTGTATAGACAATAATAATGATTAAACTCTTTTATATATAATGAAGGATCCTTCATTTTTTTTCTTTTTATATTAATTTTATGCAAATTAAAAGCATCCTTTTTTTTTTTCTAAAACTATTGATTTTTTTTTAATAAATAAGATTTCAATGTTAGATTGCACTTGTTTGTTTCGTATGTTTAATATATGAGGTTTTATATATGTAAAAAAATTATATTGACATTATAATAGACAAATTAATATAATAATTTTTGGTAATTATAAACTGTTTTTTTTTTTTTTTTTTTTTTTTTTTTTTTTTTTAAATTAAGCATATCTCGATATTGAAGATGATAACTCCATTTTCCATTGATTACATAAAGAAACATTACAATTGTATGTTTCACAATTCATAATTTTATAAGGAAAAATGTTTGAATGATAAATTCTTTTCTTAATACGGGCAACCCAATGTGTTGTTTTGAATTATATGAAATGAATAAATTTTTAGTTGAAGATGTTATAAAACTTTGGAGACCTTATATCTTTTAAAACACAAACACCTTAGAAAACTAGCTTGAAGGTGCAAACAAGTAGCTATATCTTTTATTTGTATATGGTGCCAATAGATAAAACTAAAAGACTATTTAAAAATAAAATACCAAACAGTCTTGTATTCAACTAAATTGTTTACTATAGAATTTAATAGCACTTTAATAATTCTCGTCAGTTTACGTAAAATATACAATGTTAAGCACTTATTTATCAGATGACACTTCATCACTTTCTAATCCACACAACATTATTAACTTCTATATGAAATTAAAACTTTTCAGTAGACTAAAAGAGCAACTCAAAAGCCAAAACATGCAAAAAACACATACAAGTTTCAAGACAAAAACCCCAACACAAACGCTCAAAAAACTTGGATCATGCAAATGCAAGATGCGAGTAAAGTTCTTGATTAACTTTTGTACAAATTTCACAGCACAAAAGCACTTGCTAAAACAAAAACCCTTCTCAAGATTGTACAATTTGTTCGTATTCGTATACATGATTTGTGTCACTAAAAACCACAATTTCAAATATTTTCATATTCATCATGACTTGTGTATTCGTATCAAGATGCTCTCTTTTTCTCTTATGCAAAACATTATCTTCCACCAAACACCAACACCATCACTACAATAAACAATATAACCGAACACCCCATTGCCTGTAATCACAAACCATATTATATATATATAAATAAATACTCCACTTACTTTCATATTTCAGGATAAAATATATAAAGTTTAAATTTTTTTTTTTTTTTTTTCGATCAATAAGAGAGAGAAAGAGGATTACAGCAATAGCAGAAGCAGCAAGACCAGCACGTTCCCTAGGATCCTTCCGATAATAATTTCCAAAATACAGGAATGTAGCATAGAACCACATCAAAGGAAATGCAAACCCTATCAAGAAACTACAACCACAAAAACAACAGTGTCAGTGTCAGAATGTCAGTGTCAGGTGTTGTTTCTTTTTTACTTAACTCGGTACTTGTTTCTAAACAAAACGGTAAAATGGTCATTCGTTCGAATAAACAGTCATTTCTTCTTCTACATCAATTCTAAACAAAAGGGTAAAACGGTCATTTACTCAAATTCATAATGAGAATAAAGAAAACTTACGAAAACCATCCGATTCCACATCCAAAACAAGGAAGAGGTTTATCATAAAGGCCTTGTTGAAAATCATCAGAATCCTTAATAAGTGCATACTTTCCTTTCTCACGATCATTATTATTTGAAATATGCCCTGCCATCATCAACATGTGTCTCCTACATAAGTATAACCACTCCCATAATTTTCTTATATACATCTCAATGCACACAATTACAAACACGTAAAGCACATCAATAGGGTCGTTTTGGTCATTTCATGTTTCTCGTTTTCATTATGTGGTAATTTTTCTATTGTTGGGTATTACTATCTACTACCTTTAAACATTGAAAAATATCGTGAAGATGGCCTCAAAAGATCAAGATGCTTATCCGAAACTGATTTGACCAATTCAATACCATTTTTCAAAACCTTCCCTTCCTCCATTGCAGCATCTGTGAAATCAGAAAGTCCCAATTTATATTCATTAGTATGAGATGAATATAAATTGGGATATTATATAACCTTTTTAGGGCTAACATAGCATCCTTACATCGTCTTTGTACCTCGGTTGTTTTAGTTTGTTTATCTTGGTTATAATTGTTCGATATCACATGATAACTTTTGAATAAACATAATAAAGGTCCAAACACCTCCTAATTTTTCTTTACCCTAAATGAAAGCGATAACTAAGATAACTTTAAAGCAAGACATAGAGAAGACATTGAAAGCAAACTAAAAGGGGAAAGTTTTGACAAATACAAAAGGATGTGAGAAAAAGTTGAAGTCAATTACTTTGATCCATTTCCACTGGTTTAAAGTGAGTAGGCTGCTCACCAGCTACTTGCAACCTCTTCTTGAAGTAACCCTGTTTCATATGTTCGATAGTCTACATCAAATTGGATACAATATAATAAAAGTTTGTTATATCTAATAAATATATGTACAGCAATATGCTGGAAAATCAGCCGTTTAAATCCTTCAATCCTTGAGGTATCGGATCATACACCATCAAGTTCAAACAAAATCCCCAACTAAATCCGGTCGATTTGCTATAAAATTGATGATTAGTTTACAAACCCTAAAAATAGTTCCTGAATTTCTTACCTTTTTGTTCTGCTCTTTGTTAATTTATAATTAGTGAAGCCTAAAATACAGATGTGAATCCTAGTTAGTTTAAATGCCCTTGAATTCTAAGTTCAAAATTCACATAAAACTAAAAAGTTATGAAGAAATCACAGATATCGAAAACCATGATCATAAACACCACTCAATAGACCAAATCAAAATCAAATACACCCACATAGCAAACGTGAAAATAGAAACCACATTCCATAGGGTACAATCAATATAAAAGCTTACCTAATAATGATACGTGATTGTATTAAAGCGCGATTCCGGATCAGAAATTAGGAGTAATATTCGTTTGATAATCGGAGAGAGATTAAGGAATTGGAAATTTCCAGAAGCAAAAGATTTATTGACGAGCAACAAAAATCGAAAAGGGTTTTTAACTGTTAGAATTAATCAAGAACAACAGGAGCAGAGCTCAATTGACTCTCTCCCTCAGACCCTCTCTCTATATCTCTCTCGGTGATTGTCGGTTACACTAAAATGAACAAAATAAAGGAACAACTTAAAAGACACTTAATGCGACTTTTCAAAAAGAAAGTGACTAACTTTAATATACGGATAATCAACAAAATAATTGAGAAAAAGAGAAAATAAAAATAAAAAACAGTTAGACTTATTAAATTATTCTTCAAAATAATAGCCAAAACTTAAGATTGGTTCGTAACTTAATTATATTATTACTGACTAGTGTTATTATAACACGTGAAAACTACAGTTATAAAATTAATTAAATTTTCATATAAATATTTAAAATTATTAATAAATTATTTTAAATAAATTATTAATTAAAAGATATTTTATTAGTTGTGTAACATTATAATTGTTGATTCAAATAAATATATGCAATTAACTTTCAATATATATTTGATATTTTTTATTTTTGAATTAATGAAAACAATAATATAAAATTTAAACTTTAAAATAAAGAATAAATATATTGACAAGTATCATCACATTAATTAGTAGATCTATTAAATTTAAAATAGACAATTAATAGTTTGACAAGTGACATCACATTAATTAAATTGTTTAATATAATGACATGTGACAAAAGAACTACTCTTTTATTAGTATCAAGATGCGATTTGATCCTGTAAACTTTTAATCACAGCCACTTAGATAGTTGATTTATAGTTTTTTGAACGGTCGTTATTTTTCTTATCCCCACCACTATGACAGTGCTTCTATCCATGTTCACGATTTCTCATGTTTCATATCCTACCAGAAGAATGACTCAATTTCATCAAACACTACAACTACCCACGATAAGAAGTTTGCTACCATCTAAACAGGAAACTACACCACCCACAATCTTCAATTCCGGACAATATAAGTCGTCAGATTCGTTTCAATGTTTCAATCACTTCATTTGCTTCCATCCAGTGAATAGTTATGGAGACAATTTTTTTAACATCTAACTTCTATTTCTAGTTGATTGCATCTTTAATTTCATTGTATAGTCAGTTTTGTTGTTCATTGGTCATTTTATAATCGATTGCATCTTAAATTTCATTTATACTCTAGAACTTTCATGAAGATAGTTTGAGCTACCAATAAAAAAGACAATCTCAACTCAATTGGATCTAAATCGACATCTCATTAAAGTGTCGAAATAATCAATTTTTGTGTTGACTATAGTCCATACAAATCCCACATGGATGGGGTTATTTCTGAAAATGTAAAAATTCATGTATTTTTCATAAAAACATCTAATGGTTTATTTATTATTTCAGATATCTTTAATTGCCAAAGAAGAAAAGGAAATGACAAAAAAAAAAAAAAAAAGGAAATTAGCTTTGTCAAAGTGGAAGCAGGAGAAGTGGTTAATCTTTGTGCAAATAAAGATTCGAATGTTCAGTTATCAATCATACAACCGAAAATGAAAGTCAAAGTTTCGATTCAAACTGAAAATCGACCTATGAAACTTTTTGATGACTCAGATTGTAACACTCGATTCCAGGTATGAAATCATTTTTGTTTGTGTATGATATTTTATTTTGAAGGCCACGACGTGGTAATCAGCTTTTGTGTCGCGGGAGTTCAATGACCCAACACGACGTGGTGATTTTCGCTACGACGTGGTGGCGGCTGTTGGAGAAAACCCTTAAGTTTATGTAACATCTATAAAAATCGTGCCAAATTTAAAATTTTTACGATATTCAAAACCCAATAGTTATTAGAAATTTGTTTTCAAAATAGTTTCATATCAGAGTATCCCAGAAACAAGTCATAAAAATGTGAGGACCTGTACGATCACGCCTTTGTCTTCCCGCGGTCATCCGAAGTACCTGAAACCAAAACTGAATGCAACTTCATGAAATTTCAACCAAAATTTTTAATTTAAAAACACATTATCACAATGTCAAATTTTCAAATCCCATATCAAAACTGTTCATATTTCCAAAATTCCAGTATCCTCTAATCACATCTCAATTGTTGTCGTGTGTACAATCAGGTCGGCGCCTTCCCGTGATCCATAGAAGTACCTGAAACATATAACACATACACGATAAGCATAAAGCTTAGTGACTTCCCCAAAATACCACACATATCACATTAGCCACTCGAGACCAACTCAATACGACCCTCTGGTCAATGTGTTCCAGTGGGGACCCTCCGATCCCACTACTCGGGGGGACCCTCCGACCCTAACCCAATAAGTTTACAACAATAAGCATAAATCACAAGGGCAACATGCAAAGAAGCACAATAACACAAATAGCATATAAAGCATCTCAGTCACACAAGGATACCACTCATGGTAAGTATAGTGAGAAGAATCACCTCGCAAGCTAGTAAGTACAACTCTCGTACTCGGAATTCTCGAAATAGCCTTCGCCTAATACATAGGATAACCATCTCTAATTAATACTCTATTCGTACTCAATTTCACTAAGGTTATTCTCTGTTTCTCTCAAATTCTTGGAATGGGTAAAAGACCATTTTACCCCTCCATGGTCCTCATTACTCATGTTGGCCAACCCTAAAGTCAACAGAAGTCAAACTCTAGCCAACAATCCAAGTTTAACCTGACTCACCAAGTGCACTTGTGTGGCTCGTCGAGTGTAGTCGTACCTCGGAAGCTTCTTGAAGGTCCAACTCGTCGAGTTAACCCCTAACTCACCGAGTTATACCATGGTCAGCTCATCGGGACAAACCCTAACCGACTCGTCGAGTCGGCTCCTCGACTAGGTGAGTCCATTCAGAATCTTTTCTCATTCAGACGATTCCAAGGCAAAAAACCTTCCCAAACTCTAGATCTACTCTATTGAGGCTTGTTTATCACGTAAAGCCACAAGATTTACGTCCATGTACGGTACTTAGGACTTGAAATGCCAAAAACATACTTTACATAGGGGTTCTCACTCAAGAGCATTATTATAGCTGAATAAAGCAGGAACTCAAAACACTCAAGGTCCTTATATTAGATGGATAAAAATCCCTAAACTCCCAAAATCATAAGATC